ATCCAAAATATCTCCAGCATACTGTAACAAAGCTTATGGAGGGTTATCAAAAAGTAAACTAATAATATATATTCTATTTTGGCGCGTCGCGTTGGTTATATTTATAGGCGTGTGGAGGCTTTCCCGAAATTTCAGTTTTATGTAACAGTACTGACGCTAACACAAGCGTTTACCTGCAGACATATATTGTTGATTCTTACTCTCGAGAATCTTCTACAACTTTGGAGAATAAGCGGGAATTTCACAATACATATTTAACATCATAAGTTATGTATGTTTCTAAATATAAATTTAATCTAAACAAACGTCAATAGTAAAATAATTATATAATGATAAATCCGTCACAGGTCGTATATGTATGGCAGTGGTGATATATTAGATCTGTGTAGATTTCATAGATGTATTAAATGATGGAACACCGACAAATGTGTATAGCAGTAGTGATATGTTGGATTTGTGTTTAAACTCTTTTAACATAAACCAAAAATTTGTAGAATATAGAGTAGGGCAAGATGTCGATAGCGACCACTTGCCAATATGGTTTGTCTTCAATCTCACCCCCCATAAAAACAAAAACTATCAAACAGAAAAATTGAATTATAAAAAAAGCAAATTGGAACGAATGCGAATCAATATTAGACCAACTTTTACCAAAAACATTATTAGTACTGCTGCGAACCGTACAAAAATATATACTTTTTGTCAAACAATCACCGACTGCCTTTCCAAAGCCGCTAAACAAACAATACCAATACATAAACACGTAACAACAAACCATACCTGGCAACTGCTAACCATGATTAAAAATCTCCTTCAATTACGAAGACAATACATGCAAAACAGGAACCAAACAATCAAAACCAAATCAATAATCAAAGAAACAAAATACGAAATGAAGTAAAACTTCTGAAACAAGAACAATGGGACAACTTCTGCTCCCAACTAAACGATAAATCGATTCTGGAATCATTTAAAGAGATACACAAATGGAGGAAACGCAACCCGTAAATATCCACCACAAGAAATCAATAACACAGTGGCACACACACAAACAAAGACAAAGCAGAAACTTTCAAACAATAATTACAGAAAACTTTTCGAACATATCACGAACCAGACATGAATACTCACTTATACAACGAAGTGAATCTACATGTAGCAAATAACACAGATATGTACAAACCACTTTTTCAAATAAATATTAAAAGCGTTAAAACAACAAATGATGAAACAAATAACGACAACACAACAGAAGTTCTTCAAGCAATAAAAGCCACAAAGAACAAAGCTCCAAGCGTAGATGACGTACAAACCATCCTCCTTAAAAAGGGTACTCAGAAATTGCTTGAACATCTCCTGGCGCTTTATAATTTATCACTGAATTCAGGATACATCCCAGTTTCTTGGAAGCAAGCGAATGTCTTAATGTTCCATAAAGAGGGGAAGCCAGCCAATAAACCGAATAACTACCACCCAATTAGCCTGATTTCATAAAGAGGGGAAGCCAGCCAATAAACCGAACAGATACCGCCCAATTAGCCTGACTAGCATCATAGGAAAAATTTTAGAACGTATAATCTGTAATAGATTTTCCACATTTCTGGAGATAACACCAAAATTACCAGAAGGACAGAATGGATTTAGAAAATTCAGACAAACGACTGACCATTTAGTAAGACTAACGGCATTCATTATCGACAGTTTTAACAAAGAAGAGTGCTCTGTCGTACATTTTCTCTTTATCGAGAAAGCATTCGACACTGTATGGCATAATGGTCTGAGGTTCTGAATGTCTGAAATTGAACTACAGCGCGATATTATTCGATGACTCTCCAACTTTTGGGAAAGTAGGAAATACAGAACCTTCTCGGAGTCATTTCCTACTGAAGCAGGTGTCCCACAAGGAAAGGGTAGTTAGCCCTATCCTGTTCATCATGTACGTTAACAATATGCCACTAAAAGATCCGAATCATGGGTCCTCGTCACAGTTCGCAAACGATGTGGCAGTCTGGAAAAGTGCTCCACCCCATCAATTGCGACCACAAGCCTCTAACCTCAATTAAATAGAATACTGCCAAAAATATCGTATTAAAATAAATGCCCCAAAAACTAATTAGTTGTTTTTGCAAAACTAACAAAACACAAAAAGACCCACCAGAACTCTATATGAACTAAGACCTCAGCAAAATTTATAAGCTTAACATACGACTCCAAATTAACATGGATCAACCACCTTACTAATGTAAAAACGAAAGTTTGGCAGCGCACGAACTATGGCAGGGGTCTAACAGGTAAAAATAGCTGAGCAACAGCTGAAAACATTACAGAAATCTACAAACCATACATACGACCAGGAATAGAATATGGATCACCAGCATAGATAAATGTAGCACCAGAACAAAGTAAAACTAAATTATAAATACCACAGAACACTACTGACAACAGCTTACAGAGTGCCTAGATCAACATCCTCAGCATTTATGCATAGATATAGAAACGTTAACCGATAGACTGCTACATAGTTTACTAAATTATTTCAAAAAAATTAGGCAAAAAAATTACCTGCTGTGAGAATTCGACCGTTTGTGCGTACATGATGAAGATAACTTATATAAGAAATAGAAATAAATTAAGGCCACCTAATGGTAGACAACTAAATCATCATTAATTATTACTATATATATATATCATCAATAATTTTAATTTACTGTGACAACATTAAAAAAGGTTTTATATGTGAATGCTCTCGTAGAAGTTTAGAATCAATGAAAAATGTGAAAGTATTCTCGAACCGTTCGTGAAGTGTGGACTTAGCACAAATGGATAAAACGAAAGTGTATTTTACACATTAATTTAGTTACCTACATAGACATGGCCCTGAAAGGGGTCAGAGTGAAAACGCGGACTAACTAAGCTCTGACCCTCTTGTAGTAATTAAGTCAATACTACACAGAATCATTTATCAAGTGCTGGAGGGAGGAAGAGGTCAAAATTGAACCTGACCCTCCCAGATCTATAAGATCTAAAATCCGATGCATAGAACGGCCTAATTCTTAAGGATACGTCATCAACACCAGGGGCGTGTTGCTATGTAGTATATTAGAATCACGTCATCAACACCAGGGAACCGTTGCTATGGGCGAAATGCTAGGTAACATCGTATTCTTAAGTCATCATCACCAGAGGGCGCGTTCCTAACATCGGTCTTTTTCATATTATTTCATTAGATTTATAGTTTTTGCTTTTACAATTAATTATCAATGAAACTTTCAGAGATACTGTAGAGAAAGATGACTTTAACAATATATTGTGCGTATATCCGACCTTTGAAGATTTTAAGAAAAACAAAATCTGTAAAATAACTGTGATAAGAATAAAAATATTCTTGACAAAATATGTCAAATTGTTGCTTCTTACAATAAAAGACAAGAAAATACATTTTTTTTTCTTTCTCATTTTAAAAATCCAACATGTTTACTATCTATCACTACAGGTTATACTTTACAACCAAAATAAGCTGTATCTTCACCATACGTTAACTATGACAATGAAGAATGGATTTTGTATGTCACCGAGCTTAACAGTCAGTAAAACAAATTAATCTATTCATGCACTTTACATAACTACATTACTCTATTATTGGAAAAATATGGTGATATACTTCTAAGTTTGAGATCTCACGACAGAAGGTATGATCTACAAGTAAAGATATATCTATCCTTTACATGAAATCACTTTATAAGAGCATTCCTATAAATTATTTAAAAAAACATGTCAGACATCATCAACATTATTAGATTTGTCTCTAGAGCCTTGCACTTTACATAACTAATATATAAAACTAAATGTACGTTCATGAAAATCTCAATATTTGATGTTACAATAGGAAATTATTTTCTGTTTCTAAGTTACTACGATCTATAACTCACGTATTTGTGGTTTAAAACTACCATTGTTTACAAATATAACTCACCAAGATCTAGACATAGTCTAACTTCTTCAAAGTGTAATCGTTTATATATAGTAACTTGCAAAACTCTTCACTCCCCTATGCTGGTAATCAACTTTAGTTATTTTCTTGTAAAAGACATAACTCAAATGGCCAAAAATAATGGCCAGTTTCTAATGATTACAAAGAACAAAAGGTGCATTGTTACCCACTTTAGTGATATAACACACAAAAAAATCTAGAAAACACATGTTGCAAAAGTCATCACCCCTAACATGATTATGCAGTTAATATTTGGTTGAAGCTCCTTTGGCACCAATGACAGCTGAAAGTCGTTTTGGATAACCCTCCACAAGCTTTCCACAGTATGCTGGACATATGTTCGAACTTTGAAATGCTCCTGGTCAAATATCTGAAGTTTTCCGATTGATAAGCGTTATAACAATCACAGTTATAGCTTCCGAAGTTTATAGCACACTGACTATATGTTGCGTCAGCGAGATCACGTGACTATTCTCACGCCCTCTGCTTTCTAGAACTATCCTGTACCTTGGCGAATGCTCTAGCATTTACTAGATATAGGGTAGGCTGGTATATAAAAGAGGGGTGACAACGTGACAGAATAATGTGTGTGTGTAGACAGTGAGTAATTGATCTGCAGTCAGAGAGTATTATTGAGCACGTTCGTTGTTATAGCGTTTGTTTTAACGCGATTGTTGAAATTAAGTGTATCGTAAAGTTATATTCGGAAAGAATAAACCAGTTTTATTAAGTAAGAACTTGTGTCGCTAAATTTTCGTCGGAACGAAGTTACGGAAAGTTAATTAACAAACGGAGACGTAACAATATAGTGCTGTTTAAATAATGTATTTAGAAAGCTAACATTGTTCCAACGACAAGTACATAAGCTCGCTTTGAAATCTGGAATTGATGAAATAAATCAAATCTATAAAAACAAGAGGAAATCCTCAATAGCTGCAGGATTAGAGTAAATTATTCTGTAAGCTTTTTTTTTTTATTAACAATATTTTTGGGCGCCAGCAATACCAAGCGTGAGAAGCACGTATACCCGATTTGATTTTATTACTCATCAGGATCTATACTAGCCTACCCTCAAATTGAAATTATTTTAGGCAGGACTAGAGTAAATTAATATATGAGACCTTAGGCATGGTAAGATACATCAATCAGAAGGGTTCGACCTCCTGAATCCAAAACTACAATTAGATCTCAAACTGGTCAAGAGATGACGGAGCTATGTACTTGAGAGAAAAAACTAACTCGGAGCCATTCTATGAACAGCTATACCGCGGCTAGAAACTAACGTTTTATCTATCAAAAAAATTTATTCAATAGATAAAACTGGCTCAGCAATGTTTCTGTTTTTTATCTATTGCAAAAGAAATTGTTCTGTTGGTTGTTTCAGCTTTGTAGAAATCAATTTGATAATTCCATTTCGGAGAAGTATGACGTATTATCATTAGTTGTCACGCGTTACCATGTTCGTTCTGACAAAATGTAATTTGAGGTTTATTGTCGATGCCAATGACCTTACAAATAACCACAACAAATAATTAACTTTTTTGGGTTACTTTGAAATTCTGTCATTTCAGTAATTTCTATTTCACTGTGTGCTATGCAAAGTAAAAGTAAATGTTTCTCTTATTGTCTTTCATTTTACTTCAGCCAAATTCGTGTCCCCATGGCAACTACGGAATGTCTACGCCAGTTTGATCCAACTCTTGATGAATCGAAGATCGAAATCTTGATTTTTTGGAAGGTGAAGAACTGCCAGCTTTGGATACTAGAGGTGCATACAAATGTTCATTTGTTAGATTTTGTATAAAAGAGATTTTTATGCAGACTGAATGGTGCATAACAATAACAGTTGAAAAGTGTGCTGTTGTGCGTTAGTTAAGAACGACCATCAAAGAACTAATCTTTCTTTGATAACAAACAATATGTTTGGTAAAACGAATAGTTTTCGATACTTTCAGAACTTTGACGTGTGTGAACTTTTTTCAGCTAGATATTGAATATCATACTGTTTCATAAAATAGTAGATTTGATAAACTGATAGCAGCTTTAAAATACATCTCAGGGGAGAAAACATGAACATTATTAGTAACCGAAAGCATTTCCAAAACTGTTGTATACAAGAAATCGTATTTCTAACCACTTTTGCTTATATCAAAGTCATAGGATTACGAACAACATAAAGTATTTAGAACTTAGTGCGACTAGTTAGTTTTAATTCTAAACTAAATGTTTCGTGGTTAGCAAAACAGATTCGATTTCTTTCACAACTTTTTTAGTATTCACTCATTTTTACTCTTCTAGTGTCAAGAGTTTTGAGAGCTAGACCGATAAAACTATGTATTGTGGTAAAATACACATATAAAACAGTTTATGGGAATATGGTTTAATATGGACTGTAGTTTGTGCAAAATTAGTGAGTAATTAATTTCCTATTGTGAACTTAATTTTAAAATTTTAGAAATAACTGGAAAACTTTTATTACTGATTCTCAAGTTATATTTGGATTCATTCCTCTTTCTTAAAGTTTCAAATTACATTTATATATATTTTAAAAACCTATAACAGTATAAATATTGCAAGCCTTCTCTTATGCACAATTAAACAATTCAAAAGTCTTTACTTAGAATACCGAAGAAAGGGTAGTTCGGTTGCAGATTTTTAAAATCTGATTTGAATAAAATTTTATTCTATATATCTAATTTCCTTCACTGATACTTATTTGTCATTGATATTTTGAAAAACCAAAAAAAACCGTTTAGAATGATAAATCACGTAATGAAACCTTCGTACCTAATAAGCTACAGTTAATCCGATAGATTTAAAGAACTATCTATGTGTCAACATATTGAACGTAAAAGTCTTATTATAAACAGTAACAAGAGGGAATCCTCAATAGTCGCAGCACTTGAAATTCTTTTAGGCAAGATTAGAGTAAATTATTCTGTGAGACTTTTATTCTCCTTTTTATTAACTATATTTTTGTGCGCCAGGAATACCAAGCGTGAGGCGCGCACATACCCGATTCGATTTTATTACTCATCAGGATCTATACCAGCCTACCCTCAAATTAAAATTATTTTATACACCAATCGAAATGGTTTGACCTTTTTGAGTCCAAAATTGTAATTAGATCTCAAATCGGTTGAGATATGACGGTACTAGGAGTTAAAAGTTTGTACTTGGAAAAAAAAAAGAAGAAAACTTAAAGCCATTGTATGAGCCGGTTAGAAACAGTAGATAAGAAAAATTTATCATAATATTAATGATAATGTTTCTAAAAATCTCTTCTACTTCTTTATCCGAGTGAACCATAAAGTACGAATCTGTAAACTCAATTTTTGACCAGCAACAAGGAAGATACTCATTGTGTACATATTGCATAATAATAGTAGAGCAATGGCGTTTTCGTCTGTATTTTGTCTGTTGTTTAGTCTTCGTTCCAATGGACGGCAGTTTTCCTTTAACATTACGTTGTCTTACAGAGAATTAAGTTTAAATTTAATAAGTACGAAAATATTTTTACGAAACCTTCTCTTATTTTACGGGTTATATGAAAGTTTACACTAGACTCGAATCTGTCTTACAGGGAAATACATTACACAGGATTAGGTATAAGTTTAATAAGCACGGAAATGTTTTTACGAAACCTTCTCTTATTTTACGGGTTATATGAAAGTTTACACTCGACTCGAATCTGTCTTACAGGGAAATACATTACACAGGATTAGGTATAAGTTTAATAAGCACGGAAATGTTTTTACGAAACCTTCTCTTATTTTACGTGTTATATGAAAGTTTACACTCGACTCGAATCTGTCTTACAGGGAAATACATTACACAGGATTAGATATAAGTTTAATAAGCACGGAAATGTTTTTACGAAACTTTCTCTTATTTTACGGGTTAAATGAAAGTTTATGCTAAGCTCGAACTTCGTGTTAAAGAAGCAAATGAAGAACTTTTGAACAAATTCATTTGCACAGGTTACATGAGCATGAATTAAGTAAACACGCGACTTGTCATTGAACCCGAAACACGTTGATAAAGGAATGGTAAAAAGAATGAAAATTTCTATTAGAAAAACAATGATTAAGTTTCATAGTAATTCCAGTTTAAAATTATTGTATCGCTTCACGTTTTTGTGATCAGTTTATTGAAATCGGATAGTGTATCTGTTAAATAGATTCAGTAATTGAAGATATATAGTAATAATTTTAATAGAATGCATAAAATATTAAGATAATATCATTGGATCCACGGTACTGTTACGTCTCTGTGTTCATTTGTTAATTTCCGTATAATTTCTTTCGGATGAAACTTTAGCGACACAAGTCCTTTCTTAAATAAAACTAGTTTATTCTTTCTCAATACAACTTGCAATACACATAATTTCCACAGTCATTTTAACTTAAACACACGCTATAATTCACAACGATTCACGCACTTTACGGTCACTACCGTGCTTGACTCAATTGTCCGTCTCTATCTCTGCCTGTCTGCAATTCCGATTAATAGTCTCGCTTTATCTGGCGCACTTATACACAAGAATAGAGGGCGCGTAGAAAAGACTAGAGTTACCACGAACAGGCATGATCCATCTAGAATCTCATGACGTCACGTGACTTCCGCTGTCATAACAGTATCATAAAAGGAAATAAAGTAGTTTTTACCTTTGATCTGTGGGTTATAAAGATAATTGTCTTTAATTAGAAATAAACAAAATGTAAAAGACTTCTCGTTCATATCTTGTTAAAGGTGGATTGCTCTTATAACACTTTCTCATATAGTTTTATAGCTTGAAGAATGAAGATTAATCTGAGTCAGCAAAAGAATAACATGAAAACATTTTTATTTATGAGTTACAACTATAATGGAAGTAATATAAAATTATATTAGTTAATTATTCTATATTTCTTTTCTACCATTTGTACACTAAAGAATATGCGTATGTGAATATTATGCCTTCATTTGTTGTTGATTCTTATCATCTAATTCAGTTTAGATTTCAATAAAAAAAAGGCAGTGTCATTATTATAGAAATTGAGAATAAAGATGTCACTATTATCACCAAGATCTGCCTGTTATCGATAAACTATCATATTCTCTCTTAAAAAACAACGTTTTCCTATCTTCCAAACTGCACCTATTTTATCTATCTGCTAATAAACATAGCTTTGATGTTAATATCAGCTTTTATTATAAATATAAATTAGCAGTGTTAATACAAGAATAGCTTTTAACATCGATATACTTTTTAAAATCCACAAACGAACAACGTTTTAAATTACACAATTAAAATCGTTACTTAAACCGATCAACGGTTGTCAGAGTCGCATGTTTCAACGTGGTTTCACGTCATCTTCAGGAGTGTGAAAAACAGTTACTGTGTGCTATATAAATACAAAAGCCATGGTCATGTGACTACTAGTTTACAATTCAAAAAAGAAGATCACGCATTGACCAGATGTAGCAGTTTTAAGCGAAACATTATTATATAAAACTAATAGATTTAAAATAAAAGAATATACAACAATAAGAAGAGACAGAATATATAATAAAAACGTAAATAGCCTTGTTATTCAAGTCAAATCTGTCTATAAACAAAATACAAATGCAAACAACAGACAAATGTATAATCGTTGATATATATTTAAATAACAATATATATGTAACAGTGGCCTGTATATACTGCTCGCCCACTAAACTCATAGATATAGACCTATTGGATAATATCTACCGTCATACCACAAACTACATATTTAAGGGGAATTTTGGACACACATTAACAAAAAAGTTATTAAATTTGTTACGTATTACAATTTCGAATGGTCTGAAACTGAGTTAACTGATAAATTTAAATTTAGTAGTTAAATTGTACTTTGGATTTTGCAGTTAAGTAAAAGCCGATATATAGTCAGTTTATATTTGCTAACAAGATTGATGCACATAGTTTCCCTTTTTTAACACAAATACGTTCTAATATACACACAACAATACACTTCACAATAACAGTTATTACAAATAGTTATTACAAACAATGATTTATAAACAAAAGTTCACACACTTACAAGCAATATAAAGTATTCTTTCTAGTCGCTCCCCCGTGGTATGTTCGCGGACTTAAAACGCTAGAAACCGGGTCACGATACCAGTGGTGGGCAGAGCACAGATAGCCCATTGTGTAACTTTGTGCTTAACTTCAAACAAACAGTCTTTCTAGTCTGGAACTTCCTTAATATCTTATCGAGGGTTTACGATGAGCGAGTTAATTACGAGTTGATGTAGGTACGATTCGCTTCACGGGAAGCAAACTAGCTTTGTCCTTCGTTATACACTAGCCACACACGATGAAGTTATATAATGTTTTCGTTAAAATACTAATGTCCGATGAGAATCCACTGAAGTTAAATGATTTGTAATATCCTAACCCGTTTTTTTGTGTGTGTGTTCTACAGATGTGGATTCTTTATGTTATTATTTTCTACATTTTGATTTAGACGTGTAAGTTCCTTGTGGTTTAGCCAATGTGAACTGACTCCTATATATATATATATATGTTCCACATTTACTGAGAATAGTTAGTGAGTCCAAGGGTGTCCGCCAGGGGGAGCATTCCCCAGATTATAAATTTTGCTTTTCCCTACTTATATCTTTGATATAATTTTGTCATCTTCCCTCTCTCTGTATTATAACCTTCAGACGCTCTTGAGTAAGTCTTTCTGCTATCCTGCATTTACTGAAGATAGGTAGTTGGTTATTGTGGTATCCTGCATTTACTGAAAATAGATAGTTCATTATTGTGGTATCCTGCTCTTACTGAAGATAGGTAGTTGGTTATTGTGGTATCCTGCATTTACTGAAAATAGATAGTTTATTATTGTGCTATCCTGCTCTTACTAAAGATAGGTAGTTGGTTATTGTGGTATCCTGCATTTACTGAAAATAGATAGTTTATTATTGTGCTATCCTGCTCTTACTGAAGATAGGTAGTTGGTTATTGTGGTATCCTGCATTTACTACAGATACGTAGCTGGTTATTGTGGTATCCTTCATTTATTGAAAATAGATAATTAGATATTGTGGTGTCCTGCACTTATTGAGGACAAATATTGGGTTATTGTGGTATACTGCATTTACTGAAGATAGATAGTTGGTTATTGTGGTATCCTTCATTTACTAAAGATACGTAACTGGTTATTGTGGTATTCTTATTTACTGAAGATAGATAGTTAGTTATTGTGGTATCCCACATTTACTGAAAATAGGTAGTTGGTTATTGTGGTATCCCACATTTACCAAAGATATGTAGTTGGTTATTGTGGTATCCTTCACTGAAGATAAGTAGTTGGTTATTTCACAATAACCAACTATCTATCTTTGGTATATGCATGATACCACAATAACCCAATATTTGTCATCAATAACTGCAGGGTACCACACTAACTAACTACCTATCTTCAATAAATGCAGGATAGCAAAATAATAAACTATCTATCTTCAGTAAATGAAGGATACCACAATAACCAACTACTTATCTTCAGTTAAGGATACCACAATAACCAACTAACTATCATCAATAAATGCAAGATACCATTATCCTGCATTTATTGAAGATAGATAGTTAGTTATTGTGGTATCCTGCACTTATTGAAGAGAAATATTGGGTTATTGTAATATCCTGTATTTCCTGAAGATAGATAGTTGGTTATTGTGGTATCCTTCATTTACTAAAGATACGTAGCTGATTATTGTGGTATCCTTCATTTACTGAAGATAGATAGTTGGTTATTGTGGTATCCTGCATCTACTGAAGATAGATAGTTGGTTATTGTGGTATCCTGCATTTACTGAAGATAGATAGTTGGTTATTGTGGTATCCTTCATTTACTGTAGATAGATAGTTGGTTATTG